GTATGTGTGAGTGTAGGGTACCACATTCCAGTATGTGAGTGGGTACCACATTCCAGTATGTGTGAGTGTAGGGTACCACATTCCAGTATGTGTGAGTGTAGGGTACCACATTCCAGTATGTGTGAGTGTAGGGTACCACATTCCAGTATGTGTGAGTGTAGGGTACCACATTCCAGTTCCATTCCAGTATGTGTGAGTGGTACCACATAGTATGTGTGTACCACATTCCAGTATGTGTGAGTGTAGGGTACCACATTCCAGTATGTGTGAGTGTAGGGTACCACATTCCAGTATGTGTGAGTGTAGGGTACCACATTCCAGTATGTGTGAGTCTAGAGTACCACATTCCAGTATGTGTGAGTCTAGGGTACCACATTCCAGTATGTGTGAGTGTAGGGTACCACATTCCAGTATGTGTGAGTGTAGGGTACCACATTCCAGTATGTGTGAGTGTAGGGTACCACATTCCAGTATGTGTGAGTGTAGGGTACCACATTCCAGTATGTGTGAGTGTAGGGTACCACATTCCAGTATGTGTGAGTGTACCACATTCCAGTATGTGTGAGTGTAGGGTACCACATTCCAGTGAGTGTGGGTGTATGTGTGAGTCTAGGTACACACATTCCAGTATGTGTGAGTGTAGGGTACCACATTCCAGTATGTGTGAGTGTAGGGTACCACATTCCAGTATGTGTGAGTGTAGGGTACCACATTCCAGTATGTGTGAGTGTAGGGTACCACATTCCAGTATGTGTGAGTGTAGGGTACCACATTCCAGTATGTGTGAGTGTAGGGTAGTGTGAGTACCACATTCCAGTATGTGTGAGTCTAGGGTACCACATTCCAGTATGTGTGAGTGTAGGGTACCACATTCCAGTATGTGTGAGTGTAGGGTACCACATTCCAGTATGTGTGAGTGTAGGGTACCACATTCCAGTATGTGTGAGTGTAGGGTACCACATTCCAGTATGTGTGAGTGTAGGGTACCACATTCCAGTATGTGTGAGTGAGTCTAGGGTACCACATTCCAGTGTGATGTGTGTGAGTGTAGGGTACCACATTCCAGTATGTGTGAGTCTAGGGTACCACATTCCAGTATGTGTGTAGGGTACCACATTCCAGTATGTGTGAGTGTAGGGTACCACATTCCAGTATGTGTGAGTCCATTCCAGTATGTGTGAGTCTAGGGTACCACATTCCAGTATGTGTGAGTCTAGGGTACCACATTCCAGTATGTGTGAGTGTAGGGTACCACATTCCAGTATGTGTGACCACATTCCAGTATGTGTGAGTGTAGGGTACCACATTCCAGTATGTGTGAGTAGGGTACCACATTCCAGTAGTGTGAGTAGGGTACACACATTCCAGTATGTGTGAGTGTAGGGTACCACATTCCAGTATGTGTGAGTGTAGGGTACCACATTCCAGTATGTGTGAGTGTAGGGTACCACATTCCAGTATGTGTGAGTGTAGGGTACCACATTCCAGTATGTGAGTGTGTGTACCACATTCCAGTATGTGTGAGTCTAGGGTACCACATTCCAGTATGTGTGAGTGTAGGGTACCACATTCCAGTATGTGTGAGTGTAGGGTACCACATTCCAGTATGTGTGAGTGTAGGGTACCACATTCCAGTATGTGTGAGTGTAGGGTAGTATGTGTGAGTGTAGGGTACAACATTCCAGTATGTGTGAGTCTAGGGTACCACATTCCAGTATGTGTGAGTGTAGGGTACCACATTCCAGTATGTGTGAGTGTAGGGTACCACATTCCAGTATGTGTGAGTGTAGGGTACCACATTCCAGTATGTGTGAGAGTACCACATTCCAGTAGTGTGAGTGTAGGGTACACATTCCAGTATGTGTGAGTGTAGGGTACCCAGTATGTGTGAGTGTAGGGTACCACATTCCAGTATGTGAGTGTAGTACCACATTCCAGTATGTGTGAGTCTAGGGTACCACATTCCAGTATGTGTGAGTGTAGGGTACCACATTCCAGTATGTGTGAGTCTAGGGTACCACATTCCAGTATGTGTGAGTGTAGGGTACCACATTCCAGTATGTGTGAGTCTAGGGTACCACATTCCAGTATGTGTGAGTGTAGGGTACCACATTCCAGTATGTGTGAGTGTAGGGTACCACATTCCAGTATGTGTGAGTGTAGGGTACCACATTCCAGTATGTGTGAGTGTAGGGTACCAGTGTAGGGTACACATTCCAGTATGTGTGAGTGAGTATGTGTGAGTGTAGGGTACCACATTCCAGTATGTGTGAGTGTAGGGTACACATTCCAGTATGTGTGAGTGTAGGGTACCACATTCCAGTATGTGTGAGTGTAGGGTACCACATTCCAGTATGTGTGAGTGTAGTACCACATTCCAGTAGTGTGAGTAGGGTACCACATTCCAGTATGTGTGAGTGTAGTACCACATTCCAGTATGTGTGAGTGTAGGGTACACATTCCAGTATGTGTGAGTGTAGGGTACCACATTCCAGTATGT